TAAGTTTTTATGTGAAATTTACATTTGAAAAATTAAAAAGGTCAAAATAAAATTATTAAAGTTAAATGGAGGGATTAATTCACTAGATTATTAGAAAAAATTTAATTTAAAGGTTAAAAGTTCCTCTAAATTTATGACTCTTTTTGACAAGGACCGTCATTCTCGCCTCATTATTACTAGTGTTGATTCAATTTTGAATTAACACATGTCACTCAAAGCTAGTCGTGTTACACATACATTGCTACTTGGTACTAGCCTAACCAACGACCGGAACAGTTCCACGTAAAAGTGCATGGTAGTCTTTAGCGTAAAAAATAAAAGTGTTTACAAACCTTTAAGAATATATTTACTATATATTTTTATTAATTTTTTTGAAAAAATAAAAATTAATTTTATTTTTAACAATAATTTATATGAATTTTTTAATTAGATAATTAGTAAATTAAATTGAAATTAATTTTCATTTTTATAACAATTAATAATAAAAAATACAGTTGTTCAAGGCATAAAAAAAATAAATACATCCTTAGGAGATTAAAAAAATTATAAAATAAATATGTCAAACAAATATCATAAAAAAAATATAACCTATGCTTTGTATTTATCTCCTACAAAGGCTAAGGTACAAATATATATAATAATCGAGTGCACAGTAATTTGTTTAATTTCTTTTTAACTAAATTTGATAATTTTTTGGTACATTTGGTGACGAATTATATAAGAAAGAATAATTCTTTTTTTTACTTAAATCTCTCTCACTCAATTCAAGATTCTAATATTAGATCTTCAAGTTAGAATTTCATGCTTTTAAACAGTTAAGGCATCTCTTTAAATTCAATGCAATTGGCTAGTTGCTAGTTGAACCAATTGACCTTAGATTCAATGTAGATATGAACTTTGTTTCCTAATACTTCATACCACTGTTTTTGGACCTAGCTCAGCTTGACCGATTGAACTAGTTAAACCATATCTGAGCTTAAAAACGGGCTGGATGCATCCCTCAACCTATTTTGCTATTTGGCCTGCTTTAACCCGTCGGCCCGCTCAACCCGGTCGGCCCATTTCACCAGTCCACCCGTCGGGCTGCACCTCCTCTCTACAATTGACCCATTTTTTTCCATTTTAAAGGCAATATACCTATTTTATCCTACCTTTTTAATATTATTACTTAAAACCTCTTAAATTTCAATTAAAATTAGATATAAAAAAAACCCTAATAAAAGGTCAAAACTGAGAAGAAAAAAAAACAAAGTAGTCAGTAGCAAGAACAAATACTGTGCAAAAAATAGAAAGAATTCAGACTCAGAAACACCGAAACAGAGCAGATCTCCTTCCTCCACCGACCTCTCTGCCCCCAACCACCATCGTCGACAACCCTTTCCAGCCATTCGCCGCTCATCTTCCTTCCCTTCCTCCACTGACCAGCAATAGCTTCAACAACATCGAAGAAAGTAGCAGCACAGAACAGAGCGACAACAGCAGAACAGATCTGCATCTGCTCTCAACCACCACCATCAATAGCCCCTTCCAGCCTTTCACGACTCAACTTCCTTGCCGACCATTGAACAGCAGCAGCTTCTTCACCAAACAGAGCAACAGCACCAAACAAAGCTGCAACACCAAACAGAGCAGCATCTGCTGCTCACCTTCCTCTCTTTCCTAGTGGGTACAAACAACCTCTTCTTCATCCATCAAACAGAGCAGCAACACCTTCCTCTCCTTCATCCACCGAACCAAAAAGCAACAGTAGCAAAACAGAGCAAGACGTTTCCAGTGGGTAAGAATTTCAATTTTATTTTAAATTTAATTATCAAATTTACATGTTGATGAATGATTGTTAATTATTTATAGGAATTAATTTTTTTATTAATCAATATAGATTAAAGATTTGGAAATATATATATGTAATGCATTGATGCTGTGATGCTCAAATTAATATATATGATTACTGTAATGCAAGTTTTTATTCTTTTCTAATTTGTAATGCATTGATTTTAAATTTTAATATTTAATTCAAATAAATTTTTATTTATCATTCTTATATTCTTGGAGGTTTTCTTAATAATTGATATATTTGTGTAAATTATAGAAAAATGGCATCTTCTGAACAAAATTCAACTGCCGCTTTTACACAATCACAGCAATCATGTAGTGAATTTGTAGATTTGGTTTGAGACCTTCTTTTATATTTAAGACTTATTTTGTAATGAATTTAGTTTAAAATTGAGTTCTTCCTTATTATCATGCTTGATGAATTTATTTTATATTAT